GAAGCCATGGAGCAGCAGACCATCAGCATCACCAAAGCCGGAGTCAAGGTGACGCTTTCAAAGCTTTACGCTTTAAACACTCGCGTTTATGCAGCACAAATGGAAGTTACACTGCTATCATATTTGATCGCTTGTCTCTGCAGTAGAATAACCAGACTGTTCCTCCGCTTCTCTCCTCAGGCTACCCTGAACGCTCGCACATCCATCCTGGCTGCTGCTAACCCTGTCAGCGGACGCTACGACCGCAGCAAGAGTCTGAAGCAGAACGTCAACCTGACCGCTCCCATTATGAGCCGCTTTGATCTCTTCTTCATCCTGGTGGACGAGTGCAATGAGGTACATGCAAATGAGCGGAGTCTGAGCTTCCTGTGCTTACTGGTTGTTTCTATTCATGTCTTTTATTTTGTCCATTTTTTTTTTAATATGGTAACTTAGTTGAATACTGCAGCTAACGATTTGCACCTGTCATAGGTGACGGACTACGCCATCGCCAGACGCATCGTGGATCTGCACTCCCGTGTGGAGGAGTCGGTGGACAGACTGTACTCCCTGGATGAGATCCGCAGATACCTGCTCTTCGCCAGGCAGTTCAAACCCAAGGTGGGTGTGCTGGTGTCCCCACACGCCGACACCAGCGACCCAGTGTTTACTGTTTAACACTTTTCCTTTATATTAACTTTTGGACCTCCGTAGATCTCCAGCGAATCAGAAGAGTTCATCGTCGAGCAGTACAAGCGTCTCCGCCAGCGTGACGGCTCAGGGGGCGTGTCCAAATCTGCCTGGAGGATAACTGTGCGACAGCTGGAGAGCATGATCCGCCTCTCAGAGGCCATGGCACGTATGCACTGCTGTGATGAGGTACGTGCGAAGACACACAAGCTTCATTCATGCAACACTCGATACTGAGTGTGGTTGATAAAATTTAATACTGCAAAACCGTCCTGAGTATCACTTTAACCAAATTGAGGGGAACAAAAATACATCCTTTCAAAATAAAAGGCCAAATTGTGAATTAACTCTTGCCCTTTCATCCCATGCTTCTAGGTTCAGCCTAAACACGTGAAGGAAGCTTTCCGTCTTCTGAACAAATCTATCATCAGAGTGGAGACGCCAGACATCAACCTGGAACAGGAGGATGAAATGGAGGAAGAGGAGGAGCAGCAGGAAGAAGGTACTATCAATATAGAGAAGATGTGAAATGACACCATGCATCACCGCTGTTCATTTAACGTAAACTCTTCTCTGCATCTTTGCAGGTAACGTCCCCAATGGAGTAAATGGAAACGTGGATGGTGTCATTGGCCTTACTAATGGAATTAATGGACACGCTGACGGTGTCAATGGCCACGGCGAGCCTGGGAGCCAGTCCAAACCATCTCTTCGTCTGTCTTTCGCCGAGTACAAACGCATCTCCAACCTGCTCGTCCTGCATCTGCGCAGAGCAGAGGATGGTAAGAGATGTTCCTCCCTCCAGTCTGTTTTCCACCTCATTTCCTTGTCTGCTCTGTCACTGTTCCTTTTTCTTTTTCTTCTCACATTTTTCTTGCTAATCTGTGTTGCAGCTGAGGAAGAGGAGGATCTGAAGAAAAGTGCAGTGGTCAACTGGTATCTGAAGGAGATCGAGTCAGAGATCGACTCTGAGGAGGAGCTCATCAATAGGAAGGGGCTGATAGAGAAGGTCATCCACAGGCTGGTGCACTATGTAAGTCTACCATCTTAAAATGTGAAAAGATAATGAGTCAGCGATTTTCTAAGTGCAGACATGTTCATTTATACGATCTCCCACACAAATCTCTTCCTCAAGGATCACATCCTCATCCAGCTGTCTCAGGCCGGACTGAAGGGCTCAGAGTCTGTGAGCACAGAAGAGGAATCTGTTCTGGTTGTAAACCCCAACTACATCCTGGAAGACTAAACTCCTGTCCTCAAATTGATCCCTGCTTCTTTGTGGCAAACAAGAGTTATTGTTCATAGTGTGTTTAATGCTCATAATGGTGACATTGGAGATGTTTTGCTGCTGTACAAAGATACGAGGATTTATCTAAACATTCTTTAGATTTAAAAAGATAAAAAAACAAACAAACAAAAAAAAAGATGTAAATATGCTGCCCTCTTCTCCAGCTGTTTATTCACTTCTCTTTGACTTAGTTTATTGTTGACTTTGAATAACTGTATATTATAAGCATAAAGCATGGTTTACGTCCATGGTTTAAAGTGTTTTTGTATTATAATTATGATTTTGTGAATGAAATGTTGGAACAATAAATAAAATGTTGAAAAACACAAATTTGCTTCATGTGCCTTTGTGTTGTTGCCTGCGGCATTAAAATAATACAAGATCTAAATGAGTACCACTAGGTGGCAGCAGCTCCCGTTGTTGCGACTGCGCATGCCCGTTGCAATTACGCAACAAACATGGCGGCGTCCACACTGAATACAGTCCGGACAACACTGAAAGGTTTAATTATTGGCTTTATTTGTTATAAAAAAGGTCACAATTAAGAGAATTATATTTTGGTCGACGGCGATAAGTTGTTTATTTTAATATAGTTATTTTTTTGTAAATAACCTTTTATATGCTTTAGTTTAGCACTTTAAGAAGAATTCATATCGACGTGGTCGCAAATGAAGTAAGATTTTTAAAGTGCTGGTGTAATTTGTGTCAACAGGTATGCACCTTTTCTCCGGCCGGTGGGTGCTCAGACAGAGCAGTCAAAGCCGGGCCGTGTGTCCGAGCCTGCGGCTGCACGTCTCCCCTGCTGCCTGCTCCAGGATGGAGACGCAGAGGAGCGAGCAGACCCAGAATACCGACAGAGGCAGAGCCCAGGAGGAGGTAGAGGAACCAGAGGGTCCTGAATACATCCCCAAGAGAAAAGCCAAGAACCCTATGGTGAAAATCGGCTTTGCCTGGTAATTTCTCTCTTTTGACCAAAACCCGCGAGAAATATATAGAAGCTACAGCACTGACAAATCAAGTCAGAGGTGTGTCAAAGAACGATTAAAAAGATTAGAAATGACACGCTTTTTATGCAGTCCTCGTTTCCAGAGGCTCAAATATAACTGGGCTAGCATGATAATAAAAATGTTTATTTTTGATTGTTTGTTTGACTGCCTGAAGCCTACAGCTAGAGCATGGGTGATTGGCCTTTACTGCAGTTCTTTTGATTGTAGTGCATGCTTGGTTGCTTGTTCAAGTCAGCTGCTTGACAAAGGCAGAACTTTTCTTCGAAAACTTCTCGGTTTTGTTCTGTTTTCTCAACGAAAACGCGCTCTAGTGCTAACTGCAAAAGTTTACAGTAACTGTGTGACAGTGAAGAGTTGAAAGTGAGCTGTTGATGGGGGTTGCAAAAGTGTTTTTAAAGTACTTGAATAGTTCTCAGTGAGTGTCAGTTAGTATTTCTGCTTGAATTGCTCACCTTTCAAACTGATCTTGCTTTTCTATGCAATACCTAATCTGGCCTTTAAGTCCCTGAGGAAATGTGGTTATACCAGCTGGACATTTGTCAACACTGGGAAGGCACCTAAAGATTGCCCCAGGCAATCTCCTGGATTGCCTGGGGTTAAGTTAAGTTAAGGCTTAGCTCATGTTGTCCATGAAACCAATTTTGAGTCCACTGGCCAATTATATTTGGTCCTTTGAAAAGAGGTGGCTGGCAATTAGAGCAAATATTATTAGGGCACTTACTAAAAACTTCCTGTGTCTTTAAGTTCATATCTATTAGGTAACTGTAATGTCTGTGAAGGTTTTCAGTCATCGTAGTCTAAAAAGCTTGGAAAGAAAAGCGTCTGGACTTCTTCTTCTTCATATTTTGAAGACGTTTCACCTCATCTTGTGAAAACAAGGATGCCAATGTTCACATTTTGGACAAAGAAGACAGATGGTTTGAAAGAGGAGTGTTAGAAGCCATCTATGTCCACTGTGAACAACCAACTTTAAACAGAGGTGGTGGCTTACGACACCAACTGTCTGCATCTGTAATCCAGTTTTGAGATCCCTTCCCAGACGCCCTAACGCCCACTCACATCTTGGGCCATTTGACCTCAGTAAATCATGTGATAGGGAAGGGCTAGGTTTCGCAATGGGTTCACACCCATTTTCACACCTTGGCTCGTGTGATTAGACGGAGGATCCATGTCCCTCTTAGGGACACTCCCATAGGGCTTAAAATCTGTGAATCTCCACCAATTACTCTTAGAACTGAAGAAGCTTCTCGGATGAGAGGTGAAACGTCTTCAAGAAACTTAAAGAAGTCCGGATGCTTTTCTTTCCAAGGTAATTTTAATGTAAGGTTTTGGTCACCTTCCTGTGTCGCCTGCATGTTAATGTTACTGATGTGTCCTCCTCAAGTCCCAGAAACACACACTTGGCAGACAATAACAGTGAAACAATTGTTCTTCCATATAACGCTACTGTGGCTAAAAGAGAAAACTTTGCACAATTTTCCAAAAGAGAGATTCACTATCCAAAATACAACTTGGATGAATATCATCCACACAGGCTACTAATACATTTTTTTTTTTAAAAGAGCAAGATATATTAGGTGCAAATTTGTCGTTCAGCGCAGTCACTGGGGAACCACCAGTTTTCCCTAGCTGCGTAGAACTTGCTGACCTGTTATTCTCTAGTGTGACAGAGCCATCAGTATTGTATAAATATTTTGTCTCTTTCCTCTCTGTGCAGGATCATCGGTCTCCCTACAGGAATAATCAGCTTCTTCTTGGCTAAGAGACAAGTGGACAAAAACAGACTGAAACAGTTAAAGATCAGACAGAGGATGAAAAGATCAAATGAAGGCGAATACGAAGGGAGTCGCTACCGCCATCATGCAGTGGATGTTAAACTTGACCAGTAATTTATGTTGCAGCTGTGATTTGCATCGTATGCACAGTATCCCACACAGAGACTCTTGGATTAAAGACTGATCAGAACACTGATGTAAAGTTCACCCATGTCAGAGGTAAATGTATATTTGAATAAAATCATCACTGGTACAATCACATTAAGACTAAAAGAAAACTTTATTTATAATGATAAGCAAATAGATTTTCTGTAGCACTGATATATTTACAACCCCCTCTTCCACACTAACCATCCGTGGTGTACAGTAAACATGTCTGCCTCTGTTGATTTGACGCAAGGCTTTTATAAACTTGTCAATGAAAGACTGGAGTTCAGAAATGTTCCAGTACTTTAACAACATGGCACCGATAATGCTGTCCTGTGTGGAAAAATCCCGCCCTGCCGGCCCTCGCTGTCTGATCCACATCTGACTAACACAACTATATTTACAGGCACACATATAACAACTCTATAAAACATATTATAACCTTGTATTCTGTAAAGTTAAAAAAATTAAAATAACAGACACTGACACGGTGAAGGCACTGAAGTGATATAAAGGAGTACAATTCAAATAAAGTGACCTATATTACTTTATCTGAATAAAGTAATATAGCAGAGCCGTGGCTGCCATTAGTGGCGCGGAGCTGTGCTTCAGGGGTGGACGTGTCCCAAAAAACTGACTCTTCTCATACTTGAGTAACTGAGATCAAATGTTGTGGCAATGCCCACCCCTACTGTACTTCATAATCTCAGAAAGTTACACTTTAGGATTTGCCTTGTTCTTGTAGCATTTAGACACATGGGAGAATTCATTTGTAGCTGTACATGTTCATACACAGAAGAGAGATCAGACACTTTCTGCATTAAGTCCAGTAATATGGAATAAATGTTGCAGATGGGATTCAAGTGTCTGTAGATAGTTAGATAATAGTATTCGTCATAACCACTGATAAGCTGTTAAAGTATATAAAAACAAATATAGATTTCATACAAAGTGCATTTTTGGGCGATGTAAACTAACGCTCAGATTTTTGAGGGGCATCACTTTAAAATATCTTTACTTTGCAAAAAATAAAAACCCCGAAAAAAAAAAAACACTTAACAAGGCATGATCAGAGATATTATACAAACAAAGATAAATGGAATTATTCTAGGGCTGTCAACATTAACGTGGATTAATCTGTCGTCATGATGAACACGATCAAAATTTTCAGTGCAATTAACCCATTTGGAGCGAAAATGACTCAAAATCCCTGCATGCATCAAGGCAATTTGGGCAGTTTGCACAAAGTTTGTCCATTCTGCGCTCCAGATGGTATAATTGTGTTGAAAATTTTAAATTGCGTTAATCATGATGACAGATAAAGCTGCGTTAACATTGACAGCCCTAAATTAGTCATAACTTTTTTAAAGGTCTCCTTAGTACAGCTCTCTGAAACAATGGTTCAGTCCACGCCTTGACTTTTCTGTTCAGGGGATGAAAAAAAATCCAACGAATAACAAAAACAAATCATTAATTTTTACCACAGCTCTGATCAGCTGGATCACAGAACAAGAAAATAAATGTTATTATTGTAAAGTCATCCAGTTAACTGAACATTTAAACATTAGCTTACTGCAGACTAGCATGCTTTATCACCTCCACATGGATAACACAGTAGATGGAACTCCAATACAATATATATGGTGGAAAATTACATCATAAACACAGAAGCCCTCTTTCATGGCACACCATGTTACTTAAATGCAAGTTTTTCATGTAAAAAGACTGACCATGTAACAAGAGCTGAGAACAGATTAAAGAAGCTAATCATTTACCTAGCTGACTGAAGCATTTCGTGTGATTATACTAGATTATACTGTAACTATACTAGAACGCTCTTTTATCAGCTTTCAGCTGTGTTTGGAAAGGTTTTTTGTCTAGGGATAAATAAGCCTGGTCCCGTGATGAACCTGCATTAGGTAACACAATACACCTCAGCAATACAGGAGGGATAATGCTGAAATTGACTCCTGTGTTCTTATGAAAATCCCAAACCATTAATTTACATAATCTCACATAATTTGGACATTTACAATTAACTGTCATTAAATTTATCAGATCATTTCTGATCAATTTAATTTGTTATTAGATGAAAACACAAGTTCTTCCTTTCAGGAAAAGGGTGTATCAGCGTGACCCCAAACATTTGAGCAGCAGTTTATGTTTAATCTACAATGTAAAATCTCATATTCAGCCCTTAGACATTTTCCCTGAAGAGCACCATGGTCTTAAAAATCTTTTAATGTCTATTGGAAAAGTAAAGCTTTTCAAAAGCACGGAAGGATTTCACTACACTGTGCCGCCGGATTTTTATTTGGTGGAAGCACCAATAATTTGCAACAGGAAAAGGAAGATCTGGATTATATCGACGTAGATGGAGAGTGCGGCGAACACGTACTCCTCTGGACTAATGGAGTGCTTTCTGTTTCCAATCAGTAGCTGAGTGTGATATGCCAGGAACTGCAAGACACAAACAGTTACAAAAAAACTGAGCACTATATCAACAAATACAATGAGGGCTGCTGTTAGATTTAAGGTGACTTTTCCACTTCTTTGTAACTTTAAAGTGAAATACTTACCAGAGTGAAAACGATGGCTCCTATAGCCGCATAAAGCATGTGAAGCCAAAATATCTGCAACAACAAATAGTCATTAAGATAACAAGAAAACCCAAGAAGGTGTCAGGAAACAGTCACTGTCTTCACAACAGCAGTAACTCACGTATTTGAAGGACAGCACGATGGCTGTAATGATGCCAGTCACGAACACGACGATACCGAGGACACAGAAAAGGCCCTGGCACTTGGTGAAGTCGACCTACAAAGAGAAATTGACAGCAGGCATCTCAACCCGTGGCCATGAACAAACACACTGTGGAGATTTAAAGCTGATAAGCAGAAACGTGCACGCCCCTACCTTCGTCTGGAAGCAGAACACTGTGACGGCGATGCAGACGACAGCTGTGATTCCCAGCGCAAGAAACACTGCTTTTGTGTCATAGTAACTAAAACCAAAGCGCAACACACAGTCAGCAGTGAGGAAACCATCAGAATCTTTTTATCAGATAAAAAGGACTGTATATATATATATTTTTTTTTTTTACCTGGATATGGTTCCAGTCATATACGACAAAGACAGAGTCTGTTTCACAAAAAGATAAAGATCAGATAGAATTACAATGAAACACTTCTTGTCCAACCACAAACAGCATAATCTTGACATGCGGTCTAACTCAGTGTCAACACAATACTGTGATAAAAGTCCCAGTGTCATGTGATAAAAGTCCCACTGTCATGTGGGACTCCTACAAGTCCACGTGACAATTCAGGAAATAAGAATACAGAATAAAAAAAACCCCACAAAACCTTTTATTACGTGACAAAATGCAGATCATAAAACAGCTCAGTCATGTTGCTGTTCGAGCTGATAAACTGAACACTCAAACGTATCAACAGGTAAAATGCAAACAAATGTGGTGACTCACTGCTTGGCTCTGATATCAAAATTACATTTCGAGTACTGTGATAAGGCTGTCATTGGATGGAATGTCTCGCTGACAAAGACAAAAAGGTTTTCAGTATGACTTGATCCATGTCCAGGAAACTGCTGGTAATGACCACAACCACAAGTCACACTTACAAAGAGGCCGAGCAGAATCATGTTCCATGGGAACTTCCTCCTGCAAAATAAGTTGGCTTTCAGTACAACGTTGGTTTAAAACTGTTCAAGTACAAGTATTTCCTCTTAAAACATAATAAAAGCAGGCAATTACACTCACCGGGGGCCCTTGCAGCAGACCAGCACGATGTGGGTGATGAAATACACCGCACTAAAATGTAGAAATGAATCACAAAGTTACAGTTCTTATCCATGAGTCAGCACATTACTTCAAATCCAATGATGTTACCACAGAGGGAGACTTACTATGATGCCCAGTACACAGCTGAGTTCTGCCTTACAAAAGATTTGACAGGTTGGCTGTAACAAAGAGAGGCCCAGTTAACACCAGGAAATGCTCACACGCAAAGAGCCTGAGAAAGAACATAATCTGTATACTCACACAAACGTGAATATAGCCACAATGGCTGTGGTGACCAGGAGCTGACACGCCAAGAGCAAATACACCTTAAAAAGAAAAAAATGATCACATTATTTTATACTCTGAATACAGAAGCTATTGGATTGGTCCAGTTTGTGTCTCACATATCTTTGTGCTCATTTGCGTATGATACAAAAAAAAAACAAAAAACTAGCAGTATGTAGTTATGAAAATATGGTGGAATCTTGGTGGAATCTTTTAAGCTACAATGTAACATATAATTATTTATTTTATGTGCTTTTGTTGTTTTAATTTAAAATAAATCATGTCAACACTGAGCAGGTTGGAGTTTGTCAACAATAAAAACTATACAAAACAAAAAGACTATGATGGAATCAGGATGTAGCAAACGAGGACACCAGTCCGGGAAAGCACGTTGGGGGAAGAGATTTGACACTCCACCTTTTGAAGTGGCAAAACCGTCAGTGCCAAGAGTAAAGTCAACACAGCCATTCATAGCTATCCAGTTACAAATGCATTACAAAAACTCATAGGAGACGAGATCTGGTGACCACGCATATTTAAAAGTCTTAAGACACTCCCTGGTCTTTTTCTTCAAGCAGTTCTTTACAGATTTACCAGTGTTTGTGCTTGTTGTCCCACTGCCAACTGGACTTAAGTGAACCCAGGATTCATACAGCAGTCGGTAAAGACTGGAAGACAACATTAGTTAAAACAACCCTGTGCTTGCAAACCAAAACAAATGTGTCGCACGTTCACACACTATCCATTTAACTTCGAGCCAGAAAGGTTGTGTACAGGAAACCCAACAAAACAACACTCAGTGACAGCTCTCAAGTTCAGTGCCAAGTAAACTTAGTTTGGCTGTTCTCCTATGCTTTCTGTTTCGCTGCGTCTTTGTTTAACTGCCCTACTGTTACAGATGAAGAAGCCACATAAGTAAAATCCTTAAAATACCAGAATCAAATCAAGGCTGCACTCTGCCTTCTAATATTTACACCCACTTTCATCTGTTTCTAAACAGTTTAAGGGCTATCAGTTTTCAAGGCAGGGACTCGTGTAGACTAGCACACACTTGTGGACCGGCAAGCAACCAAAGCACTGACCAGAGAAGCTGAGACTAAAACACACACACAGGTTAATTCTCTTGTAAAGCTGTCATAGCTCCTGTGTATCCTTATATAGCAAAAGGCCATCTCCTGTTATATAGTATGTATAGAACACAGATGTATAATTATTTACACTTATTACCTAATGTGCTTACAGTACAAACTGTGAAGCACTGTGTAACTGTGTACCTTTAAAAAGGCCATACAAATAAAGTTATTATTAGAATAACTCATCCTCTCCCCAGTTTATGCTCTGTCATTGACCTTTCAGTCAGTGTCACAAATGTCAAATTTGGATCTAACAATAAACAGAACCTCTCACCATCATACTCTATAAAATGCTGCATGTCTTAGCCAACCGCCCCGTGCTTGGTCTTGTTTCCCCTCCACAGAAGTAGTTTAGAGACTGATGCTTGTCCTCTGAGACTACTAGAGTTCTTTATTTGGAAAATTCTGCATCTGTGATGAGGCTACTTTTCTGTCTCAGTAAACAAAGCTGGATATATTAATCTTTTTCTGGTCTGCTGCTGTGTATGTGTTATATAGTCCCATGTACTAGTCCATTAGAAAACCTCATCACGAGTCAAAGCTCATCCAACCATTCAAAACACATGAACAACAGCTGCAAGGCTAAAATCACTCTGGCCAGTGTTGCTGAACACATCTCAAAGAAAATTTGCCATTTTGTATAAAGAAATACATTCTTTGTAGCGCCTTGAGGCACCTGTTGTTGTAATTTGGCATATAAATAAAAATGAATTGAATTGAATACATTCTGCCAAAATTTGACCGTTGACCAGGAAATGATTTTTTTCAAATATACATGTAATTTTCCTGACAATACAACTTTTAGCTGATAAGATAGCTCTAGGTAAGGAAAGCATACCATCTTGGCCTAGGCAAGATCTTTCCTAATGAGCACTTTTCACTTTGTTTAGCCTGCAATGACATGTCATAATTGGTGCTGTCAATCTGCCCTTTTCTCTTGGGTGCGGGTGTTGTAATGAGTCTTAAATGATTCTGAAAGTAACTTAAAAGTGTAGGAATTATTGCACAGGACAGTAAAATAGGTAATTTCATGCAGATTGTGGTGCTTTACCTTTCTGATGAAGGTATGCCGAATGCTCAGACTGTCCCAATCGCTGCCACTTGCTGCAAACTCATCACCTGTATCATCAGTAGAAAGAAAAGCGATCACTGA